TCTACCACAATCTACAGCACTGCACCGCACCGCACTCCATTGCTTCCCGCCGCACTCTGTCGCTCAGTACAGCCCACTACCGCCTTTCCGTTGCTACAGCAACCATAATGGTGGACTCGGTGCTGCGCTTTGACGCGGAGGGTCAGCCGGTTGAGTTCGACACGTGGCTTGTCGACCTCCGCCGTCACTTCACCGGTCAGCGGCAGGACGGCCACTCCCTGGCCATCCACATCGAGGGTACGCTCCCCTGCCCTGACCCCCCTGCTGCTCTACCCTCTGACCCCACGTCTGCTGACCATGAGTCCGCTGCCGCCGCTGCCCTTGCTCGTGCTGTCTGGTTGTCGCGTAACGCTGTCGCACAGCTTGCGATTAGTCATGCCCTCCCCCTGTCTGAGCGCCCCCGCTTAAGGTCGCGCAGGATTGTGCAGGAGTTTCTAGTGGCTGTTGTCGTGCGCTATTCCACCCCGCCCTCTACCTCTGTCGGTCACCTCATCCTGCCCATGCTCTTTCCTGATATCGCGTCTTTCCCCACTGTCGCTGACCTGGCCGCACACTTGCGCACGCTAGACACGACCTGACGCGCTGCCTGCACTGAGGCCCAGCGTCGTGTGTTTCAGCCCCCTATCTGCTCTACCCTCTACCTGCTTGCCACCCGCCTCCCTGACCGCCTTGCTACCACCCACGATCACTTTCTTAGTCTCCACCCCGCTGACCTCACCCTCACTGACTTTGTCGACACCCTGTCTGCCATAGAGACTCGTCGGCGTTCTATCGCCCAATCTAGCGGTATTGTGCCGGTCTCTATCTTTCAGGGCTGTACCCCTGCTTAGTGCACTTACTCTGACGGTTTTGCTGCTGTTGCTGAGACAGCCCCTGCTGCGGAGACAGTCGTCGCGGCTGCCGCAACATAGTTTCGTCCGGGTAAGGGTCACCGCCACAAGGCTGCGCGTGGCGGAGGTAGCGGAGGAGGGGGTGGAGGAGGTGGTGGAGGTGGTTCGCCCATTGCTAGTACTGACGAGGGGGATGGGACTGGTGCCTCGGAGCAGCAGCACCAGCAGCAGCAGGCACCGCAGCAGGACCACCAGCAGCAGCGGCGGGTCGGTCGTCTCCCGCCCGGGTGGCCTGGCGCCGGTGGTGGAGGTGGTCGCGGTGTTCGTGTGTGCAGGGTGACGCCGGGTGGTGGTCCCAGTGACGGGCGCTGCCAGTACCAGCTCTAGACTGGTGCTCGCCGCGGCCTCGTGTGCGGTAAGACCGGCCATACCCCCACTCGTTGTTTCAGTCGCCTAGACGACCTTTTTCGTCTCCGCTTCGGCCCGGCGCCAGACCTCCAAGACTGGCACAGTCTGCTCTGCTGTGGTGTTAGGATCTTTGATATGGACATGGATGAGATTAGCTCTACTTTGTATGTGCTCTATGACGATAAATCTAGTGTGACTGGTTCCTATTACTCCGTGTTGCCTAGTGTAGGTGTGCCTAGTGTGCCTAGTTCCGACTCCCCTGCTGCGTCAGGCGGAGGATCCCTTGCCTTGTTTAGCCTTGGCTCCACCCTCGCTCCTCCAACCCCTGCCGCCACTGTCGCGCTCTCCTTCACCCTGAACTCCGGCACTTCTCGGTGTTTCTTTCGGGAATCCACAATGCTTACGCCGCTTGCCGCTCCTGCCGTAGGTGCCCTTGCTAACCCTTCCTCAGGTCCTGTAGTCGCCCATAGCTCCGCAACCCTTCCCTGTCTGGAGGTTCCTTCGGGCTTCCTTACAGGCCTGCACATCCCCTCGTTCTCTAGGAACCTAGTTGGTGTCCGCTGCCTTCAGGACCTTGGCGTCACCACTACTTTCCCTGGTCACGAGCGGTACGCTGTCTGTACCGAGGCCACCACTGGTGCTCCCCTCACCACGTTCACCCGGGACCCGGTCTCTGGCCTGTTCACGCTAGACACCGCGTCCCCCCCAGTTGGGACGTCCCTCTAGGTGTCTGTGTCTACTCAGGTTGCTGCGGCCTGCTCGTGTCGGTCACTTACTCACCCGTCGCTTCTGTGGCACCACCGTCTAGGTCACCCTGCCCTCACACATCTTCGTCACATGTCTCAGCACGGTCTTGTCTTAAGTCTCCCTGAGTCTTTCCCCGCGCTACCCTCCTCACCAGCACCGCCGTGCACGCCGTGCGTCGAGGGCCGGCTCCACCGTGCTCCTCACTCCTCCTCCTTCCACCCCACCACCGCAGCGCTGCAGACCCTGCACATGGACGTCTAGGGCCCCGCCCTCTGTCCATGGGCCGCGTCGAGAGCGCTACTTCCTAGTGCTTGTCGACGACTTCACGCGCTACACCACTGTGTTTCCCCTGGAGCGGAAGGCCGACGTGCCTGACGTTCTTATCGCATGGCTTGTCTCTACGCGAGTTCACCGAGGTCTCCCTGTTTTGCGTCTTCACTCCAACCGTGGTGGCGAGTTCGCCTTTGGCTGCCTTGGTCGCTGCTGTCATGCGGAGGGCATCACCCAGACGTTCACCCTGCCGGACTCCCCGCAATAGAATAGGGGCGATGCATCGGTTTGGTCATGGAGGTGGCTCGTACCTCCATGATCCATGCCGGTGCACCCCATTTTCTATGGCCGTTCGCCGTTCGCTACGCCGCTCACCAGTTTAACCTGTGGCCGCACCCTCAGTGGCCGCAGGTTTCGCCGACCCTCCTCTGGACCGAGTCTCTTGGTGACGCATCTGCGTTCCATGTCTAGGGCTGCCTTGCTCACGTTCGTGCCTCTGGCACGGACAAGCTCACTGCCCGCACTGTCACGTATGTCTTCCTAGGTTTCCCCCTCAACTCGTCTGACTAGCACTTCTACCACCCATCATCTCACCGTTTCTTTCACTCTCATGACGTCACTTTTGACGATTCGGTCTCCTTCTACCACTGCTTTCCCCACCGTGGTCCCCCGGTCACTCCCCCCCAGTTCCTGGTTCCCCCCCCTCCACCGGTTGCCCCTGCTCCTCCCCCTCCCCGCCCTGCCCCGTCTGGTGTGTCTCACATCACCCCCTCCCGTCGGTTGTCCCTGGCGAGGAGTCTGCTGACTCTCGCGGCTCGGCGGGGTCCCTTCCCCTGCCTATCCCCGCCCCGGTTTCTCCTCCTCTGTCGCCGCCGTTGCTGTCATAGCCGCAGCCACCCCCACAGCTGCCGTCGCCGCCGCAGCCGCAGCTACCGTCGTCACCGCCGCTGAGTTTTGTGTGTTCTGGGGGTGCTGTGGAGCATACTGGAGTGGGGTCCCGTTTTGGGGGTGCTGGCGTGGAGCTTCTCGGAGGGAGCCGTGATGTCGCTGGAGGTTCTGGTGCTGGAGTTGGGCAGCAGTCGCTGCAGGTGTCCGCTCTTCGCCTCCTCGGTCTTCCTTCCCCTGACCGCCTGCCGTTGCCCCCTCCGTAGCCGCCGCCTCCTCCTCCGCCGGTCTACGGCCCTGTATTTCCTCCCTCGGACTCCTCTTTGGCTCGTTTCCCTCCCCGGTCTCCTCTTGTGTCTCCTCCCCTCTCTCCTGACACGACTCCTCCGTCTCACGTCTGGTCTCGTCTTCTGTCTCGTTACAGTATAGTAGCAAAATCCTCACCACGCCGACCCAGATTAGGAAATGCGCGCTCCAATTACGAGCAAGGAGAATTCGTAGCCAGCAGAAGCACAAACAGAATTCGTTTTGTGCCCGTGGCGTGCCATACGCGATGTTCATTTTTTTAGATTTTTGTTTCGCTGCGTGTCGCTCGTCAGCGCGCTTTCGCCACGCGGCGTTTGCTTGGCGCGAGTCGGGGTGGGGCCTACCCCGAATGTGTTTGTAGGAGCAGCCAATCGGACGTTGAGAAAATGCGTTGGGCTGAGAAAATGCCCTTAGGATCTTTCCAGAGACTAAGTGCCAGTTGTAGAATGAGACGTGAGTAGTGCAGCGGAAGTTGAGTGGTTGAACCCTTGTACTGGTATATGAGAACAAATGATTGATTAAAGAAAACAAGCATACAGCAATATATAGAAGATAAGAAAGCAGTTGTAGAATACAGTTGCAGGAGCGGTTATCGAGTCGCACAGCGACTCGATTGTCGCTTCGGTTACCATCCGCGCTGTTGTAACGGTCAGTCGCAACCTCCAGTTACGACCCTTCGAGTCCCTTCGCCTTCTTTGTTCGCCCCCTCGTGTAACCTCCGTTGACTCGCGTACCCGTTGCGATCTTCCTCGAGTGTAGTGTTACACTTCAGAAACGCTTAAGTCATTTGAGATATTTCCAACAGTTTTGTGCCCGCGGCGTGCCATACGCGATGTTCATTTTTTTAGATTTTTGTTTCGCTGCGTGTCGCTCGTCAGCGCGCTTTCGCCACGCAGCGTTTGCTTGGCGCGAGTTGGGGTGGGGCCTACCCCGAATGTGTTTGTAGGAGCAGCCAATCGGACGTTCCAGTGCGAAGCTGAGGTGGCTGTCCTCGCTTCTGATCGTGGCGGAATAGACTGACAAGGAGATCAATCATGAAATTCGCATTTCTGATTCTGATCCTACTTCATAGGAATTCATCGTTAGATATATTTGTAATAGCCTAGCTAGGTCAGTTCTTAGAGGGAACAATATTTGTACGTGTACCTTATCGCCCATCCCCTCTTCCTAGTGTCAGAAACCCAGTCACTAACCACTGGGTTAAAAGGGCTTGTTGAATAGCGGGTAAGTGCGCCCATAGCCCCCCAGGCTCTGCACCTGTGGCCCTTCCCCGAGGATCTCAAGGGCAACCCCAGCGGGTCACTCAACACCCCCCCCCCCCGCTGGGATAGGTGGAAGACACAAGCGCCTCTGCAGCGCTGGCACTGGGAGTTGAACCCAAGACCTTTGGCTCTGATACCATGTCAGAAACCCAGTCACTAACCACTGGGTTAAAAGGGCTTGTTGAATAGCGGGTAAGTGCGCCCATAGCCTCCCAGGCTCTGCACCTGTGGCCCTTCCCCGAGGATCTCAAGGGCAACCCCAGCGGGTCACTCAACACCTAGTCACACTTTTTCCCGCTAACACAAACCCCCTTGGCACTTGTTCATGTAGAGAGCAGACGTTCATGGTAGGTTTATAGCACGCATTTCAATTCAATGCACCAGATCCAGCATTATGTGCTGGGCCATGTACAGCTTGCGTGCTCCCATCATGCACTAGTCACTCAATTCTGCAAATCTAAGCTTGGAATTAACGCGTGCCACTGCTGGTTATTTCTCTGGGCGCTTGGGTGCGGGCCCAAGCGTGCGAACCACAGGGCCAGCAGGCTGCGAGGAAGGGCCCCCCTGAGCGTGAAGCACAGCAAGGAGCTGAGCGAGGGCATCGTGCACCTGGGCAACAGCAGATGCTGGGATGATGATGGAAGAGCGATCCGCACCAAGCACCTGCACAGAGAGGCAGCATAGGGATTGTGTACAACCTAACAGGAACATTAGCTGCCAACTGTGAATATCGACATGAATGATGGCTTTTGGCACTAGGAACGATGGCGCTGGTGGCAGCAGCGCTAAGTGCAGGGTCTGACCTCTGAGATCTTGAGGAAGTGGCCGCGTGGATTAGAGCCGAGGTCCAGGAAGAAGCGCTTCTGGTCCGCCACAATCACGCGCGATGCCGCTGCACCTGCCGCACCCCCTGCTGAGCCACCTGCACCTGCCATATTTTCCTGGGTGCTCCCTGCTGCCGCGGCCCCTGCAGCGTAGCCTGCAGGAGCTGCTGCTGCCAGCTGTGTTGCAAGGCAAAAAACGATTTCCCAAGCAGAAAGAATCATCAAAGCAAAGAATGGCAAGGCGTGCAAGTCTGAAGAGGAACAGTCAATCTGAGGCTGTTAACGGTACACACGGTAAGACGGGTGACATAGCCCGTCTGCGGGGATGGGACAGAGATAGGTACATTCCCCTCAGATTCGTTGCCGAATGGCTCACACTGTGCATGGGTGTGTACTGGCACTCACAGCAACGTTGACAGCAGGTGCGGCACCGGGCAGTGGCAGGGTAAGGGAGGCCTCATGGATCTCCACCAGCGCATTGCGAAAGGCAGACCAGCCGTCATCAGAGGCGCCCGGGACAGCCCCCGTGGTGGCAGGCACTATGATGGTGCTGCGCCCACGCGTCAGACTCGCCTCCGACACCTGCAGCCACAGGAAGAGCACGTGCCACAGCACTGGCGAAAACGGTAAGGCACGGTCCCAGGAATGGATACTGCAAAGGGTTGCACTTACCAGCGATTCATCCCTTATACATCCTCATGCCATCAATCGCCCGGGCAGGGGAGCCATCTTATGCCATAAAAAAGGCAAGTTTCGAGGCAGTAGATGCAGGAAGAGAGTGCAGAAGCTGAACGAGTGCTCAAAGATAGGGGCTGGAACAGAACAAGAACAAGGCAAGGAGCTTGATGCAAGGGCGCGATTGACAGAAATAATGACAGGGGTTCGACAGACATGACAGGCACGACAGGGCGATGGGGTGCAAGGCACCTTGAGGAATCTGCCACGGGGGTTTTCCCCAACGTCGAAGTAGAACACCTGAGAGGCGGCGAGGGGGGAGGCAGGGAGGTGTGGGGGGAGGAACGGAGAGGCGAGGGGGCGAAGGGGAAGAGGGACAAGTAGAGGGTTCAGAGGGGAAATCCCAGGAACGAAAAGCAGGGTTTAGGGAACGGAGAAAAGGGATGAGGGTTAACGAGTAGCAGAAGCGCGTTGCGCCAGCGCGTGCGTCGTGCGTGCGAGCGCGTGCGTGTGCGAGCGCGTCCGTGTGCGAGCGCGTGTGCGTGCGGGAGTGCGAGCGCGGGCGCGCGCACCTTGGAGTCGAGCTGCAGCTCCTTGCTGCTGAGCTGGCCCTGGTCACCGCCGTTGGCGTAGTAGTTGAAGAGGTCCACGAACCACACCACGCCCGCCAGCGGCACCATGATGGTGGAGCGCGCGAGCGGCGTGCGCTCGCTGATCTTGAGGTAGCGGCCGCGGGGGTTGTCCTTGAGGTCCAGGTGGAAGAGCTTCTGCTCCAGCTGCAGCGACCGCGACACCAGCTCCACGTCGCCCTGCGCCATGCCGCCAAGCACCGACGATCTCAGCGCCGCAACGAGCCACAAGCAACGAGCAATACGCGAGGTAAGTGCACTTCTCGCCCCGATCACGCTGCAAGCCAACTTCCGCCCTGCGCGCCCACCAACCACCTCCCTACCCTCGCCTCTTTAACCGCCCGCCTCCTCCGCTACCTCCGCCGCGCCTCCCTCTGCCTGCCCTAAACACAGCCCCTCCGCCCTAAGCAGCGCGTGGCACGTCGCAAGCAATGTGTAGAGCACAATGATGACAGACACTGGGCCTCGCTGCAGCTGCGGATGTTAATGTCCCTCCCTGTACACTCAGAATACACACTGCGTGCTGGACTTATTTTGTACGTACCGTTAGATCAACTCAAATTACACTCCTCTTGCACGTTCCAACTACTGTATTCCCCGTATATAAGACCTGCCGAAATAGTCACCCCATGGGTGGCATTTGCGGGGGATAGCTTATGATGTGGTGCATTTTTTAGAGCACCCACTTTTTCGGGTACGAATTATACGTAACACCCTCCATCGAGGATTTGGTCTAGCGTCAAGGTTTAATCATTAGACAACAGTTTTAACACTACTCTAAAGCCTATCCGTTGTGTGAGACATTTCTATTGCATTTTCGACTACCTAAGCTAGCTATCACTACCATTCGCTCAGCATGCACTGATAATCCAACAGCTAGCTGTCTTGAACTGAGCTAGCAAGAAAGGAGAAGGCCGCCATGAAATGGCGGCCGAGGTTTAGCTAGGAGGTTGACGAGAGAGAAGAGTATCGATTAGGAAGAGAGAGGGGTACAAGGAGGGGATTGTACCATTTACAGTAAGGTTCAGTAACAACTACCAATGTCAGAAACTAGCTTAGCTAGGAAGCCATAGAATGGCACAATGTTTAGCTAGGAGCTAGGAGGAGCCATGAGAATGGCGAGAGGTTTTAGGTGCTAGGAAAGTTGAGGAGAGAAAAGGAGTTGGATCAGAAGAGAGGGGAGTACAAGGAGCGGTTTGTACCCCCTACAGAAAGGTTCAGTAACAACCTACCAAGCCTATATTAAATTATAACTTATATAATTTGAACACACCCCCTAGGCTTGGTAGTCACATGCCCACACACACCCACACCCCCTAACCTAGCACCCCCATTCCAGCCACAGTGACAGCGACTCTAGGTCGGTCGACCCCACGGCGCGTAAGGCGGCGACGTCGACCGCAGGGGCTGCGGCGGCGACGGCGGCAGCGGCGGCAGTGTCGACAGCGGCGGCGGCGGCGGCTTCGACAACAGCGGCAGCGGCGGCGGCACCCGCACCTCTCGGCGACGTGGCCAGGCCCCGCGACGGTGGGACGGCCGGCGGGAGTCAGCCGTCGTCTGCGAAATGGAAGAGGGCACAAGGGAAGGAGGGGGGTGGGGGGGGGGGGGGCGCCACAGGCTGACATGCGGGCGGCCGGTCTAGCGGCGCCACAAGCGTCACGCGGCCGGCTGCAGCCCGACGACGCCGTCATGGAGCGGCGTCGATGCCGCAGCGGGGCGTCGACGTTGCGACGGCAACACGACGTCGCCGTTACGCCGACCGCGCGCTGTCGCGTAGACGCCGCGGCAGCGTGACGGCGCCGTCACGTCGCGACAGCATCTTGACGCGACGGCGGAGCTGCGGCACAACGGCGCGGCCACAGCAGCTGGACGCGGGCGCCATGGACGTCGACGGCGGCGCCGCGGCACGACGACGCGGCCACAGCAGCTTGACGCAGCCGCCATGGCAGCGCGAGATAGAGAGAGAAACGAGCACGCAGCGGAAACGCGAGGAGCAGGCCCACGCGGAACGAACTGCTCTAATACCATGTCAGAAACTAGCTTAGCTAGGAAGCCATAGAATGGCACAAGGTTTAGCTAGGAGCTAGGAGGAGCCATGAGAATGGCGAGAGGTTTTAGGTGCTAGGAAAGTTGAGGAGAGAAAAGGAGTTGGATTAGAAGAGAGGGGAGTACAAGGAGGGGTTTGTACCCCCTACAGAAAGGTTCAGTAACAACCTACCAAGCCTATATTAAATTATAACTTATATAATTTGAACAACCAAGCCTATCAATTATATATAACTTATATAATTTTAACACACCCCCTAGGCTTGGTAGTCACTGTTAGAAGGCTAGCTTAGCTAGGAAGCTAGGAAAGGCATGAGGTTTAGCTAGGAGGAGCCATGGAGTGGCATGAGGTTTAGGAAGGAGACAAGTTGAGGAGAGAAAAGGGAGTTGGAATAGAAAGAGAGAGGCATACGAGGGGATTGTACCCTCTACAGTAAAGTTCGGTAACCTACCAAGCCTAACAATTATATAACTCAATATATAATTTAACACACCCCCTAGGCTTGGTAGTCACAAGCCCACACACACCCCCACACCCCATAACCTAGCACCCACATTCCAGCCACAGTGACAGCGACACTAGCTCGGTCGACCCCTCGGCGCGTGAGGCGGCGACGTCGACCGCAGGGGCTGCGGCGGCGACGGCGGCAGTGTCGACAGCGGCGGCAGCGGCGGCGTACAGCTGCGTGGCCCCGACGCAAGCGGCGACGGCGGCGGCTTCGACAACAGCGGCGGCGGCGGCGCCCGCACCTCTCGGTGACGTGGCCAGGCCCCGCGACGGTGGGACGGCCGGCGGGAGTCAGCCGTCGTCTGCGGAAAGGAAGAGGACACAGGGGAAGGAGGGGGGGGGGGGGCGGCGCCACAAGCTGGCCGGTCTAGCGGCGCCACAGGCTTCGCGCGGCCGGCTACAGCCCGACGACGCCGTCACAGAGCGGCGTCGACGCCGCGGCAGGACGTCGACGTTGCGATGGCAGCACGACGGCCCGACACCACGGCAGCGCGTTGAGACGGCCGCGGCACGATGCGGCCAGCGGCATCACGACGCCGCTACTGCAGCAAAACGCGGCCGCCATGGCCGCGCGAGCGAACGAGGGTGAGGAGTACGCGGCGGAAGCATGAGGAGGCGGTCCAGCAGGGAGTACCTCCTGCTCTGATACCATGTTAGAAGGCTAGCTTAGCTAGAAAGCTAGGAAAGGCATGAGGTTTAGCTAGGAGAAGCCATGGAGTGGCGTGATGTTTAGGAAGGAGAAAAGTTGAGGAGAGAAAAGAGAGTTGGAATAGAAAGAGAGAGGCATACAAGGAGGGGATTGTACCCTCTACAGTAAAGTTCGGTAACCTACCAAGCTTAACAATTATATAACTCAATATATAATTTGACAGTCACACACCCCCACACCCCCTAACCTAGCACCCCCTTTCCCAGCAGCCACTACTACTCCAGCAGGGCCAACCCCAAGGCCCTGGAGATGGCGACGGCGGCCGTCACGGCAGCGGCGACAGCGACGGCGATGACGGGCGTGCGGCGGCAAAGGCCTGCAGCGACGACAGCGGCGACGGCGACGGCGTCGGCTTACGACGGCGGTGAGGGCAGCGGCCCCTGCCCTTCCGGCGGCGTGTCCAAACTCCGCACAAGGGGAACAACCGGCGAGAGTCAGGTGGCGGCTGTGGCGAAGAGGGGGGGGGCAGAGGAAAGGGGGAAGGGGCGGGGCTTCGGATTCTTCAGCGCGGCGCCATTGCTGACGCCACGCTTACTGGCGTGCGGGCGGGCTGCTTTTCCAGCAGCGACGCAGGTCGTACGCGACGGCACCAGGCCGACGACGCAGCCACAGCACCACGACGGCGCCACCACAGCGTGGCGTCGTCGCTGCAGTTGCTCGTCGACGCTAAGAGGACGGCACTAAAAGGCCGCCGCGGCATCACAGAACAGATGCCACGGCGGCAGGCAGGCGGAAAGCCGCAACGGCGGCAAAGTAACGACAGGAACGCAGCGGAAGCGTAATGAGCAGGCCCGGGACGGGCGGCCTGCTCTGTTACCATGTCTTGAACTAAGCTAGCAAGAAAAGAGAAGGCCGCCATGAAATGGCGGCTGAGGTTTAGCTAGGAGGTTGACGAGAGAGAAGAGTATCGATTAGGAAGAGAGAGGGGTACAAGGAGGGGATTGTACCCTCTACAGTAAGGTTCAGTAACAACTACCAAGCCTATCAATTATATATAACTTATATAATTTTAACACTAGCTACATGTCCTAGCAGGTAAGTCAATAGTTAGTCTATGTCGTTGTCCTCATCGTGGTCCTCTCCTGCATGCCACACCTCGGCATCTCCATCGTCACTGGCGATGTCGTCCCAGTCAAAGTCATTAGTCCTGCAGGACGCAGTGAGGCCTGCCAGAACCTCCGCCGCAGGCATCTCTAGACCTTCGTCGCCTTCGGCAGCTGATATCTCCGCCTCTGTCGCTGCTTCAGTAGAGGCTGTTACTACTGCTGCTGTGCGGGCCCCTGGATTCCCAGACGCCTCTGATGCTAGCGCGGTTGTTGCAGCTCCCGATGCACCGGATGATGAGGCAGTTGCTGCAGTTTCAATCTCAGCCTCGACATCAGGATCGTCTTCCTTCGAGCTGGGCGTGGCGTTCGGCTCCACATATTCCGACTCGTAGTATGGGTTCGACGTCCCGCTCTCTTCCATTTCGGCATGGACGTCTTCCATAAATTCGACCTCGGCGTCGTCCCGCATGTGGGCGAGGATCACCTTGTCCTCCGTGCCGTCGGTCGCGTTGGAAATACCGCACGTTTTGATCGTGCGACAGATGAGTTCAGCTGGCACTGCAGCCCAGGCGTCAGCAATCCACTAGAGCAAGGATCAGAACACAACTTCCCCGGTGTCAATTCGAATCGTCCGCGTTTTACAGAAACTGGTTTACAGGTTTTGGGTCTCGCAGTCTCAGTACAGTCAAACAGCAGTAACATTTTGGAGCCGAAAACCGTCCGTCAAGATTTGACGAGTCAACACCGAGAGAAATGGCGCGAAGCCATGGACAGAGAGTTAGCAGCTTTGGGAAAGCGTGGCACCTGGGATCTTATCCCACTGAAGGAAGCAAAGGGGAGTAAAGTTCTCACCAGAAAATGGGTCTTCCGTAACATAACGAACGCTGATGGCTCCTTCGAAAAAATCAAGGTGCGATGGGTCGTCCGCGGCTTCGAGCAAACATTCGGACTCGACTACGAACTTACCTTTGCTCCCGTCGGCCGACACACTAGTGTCAGAATTATTCTCTGCATCGCGGCCTACCGGAATTTCTGACTTAGTCTAATTGACGTCGCCAACGCTTTTCTATATGCTCCTGTCGACGCACTAATTCTGGTCGAGTATCCACATTCTTACGAGACTAATCCTCCCAG